ATACATTGTGCAGTAAAAAGTAGTTAAAGTACCAAAGTAACTAAAGGAGTGAAATAAACTAAAGCTTTGGTGAAATCAGCATTTACCTGCAAAGTGAAGTAGAAGTACAAAACACCGGAGAGTGGAAACACTCCAGTGAAGTAAAAGTACCTCATATTTTAAGTACAGTACTTGAGTAAAAGTGACTTGGACTCACAGTCTTGTCTCCGAGTCCTGGAGGACCCCTGGTACCCTGAGGGAGGGAAACAGCAACGTCAGAACATTTTCAGGAGGGACTCGGCTCAGGAACCCAATACTGTTTGAGTTTGTGTGAGTTGACATTATGACAGAACAATGACAATTATATCTTTCTAGAAAAACCTCTGGTATTATTTCTTTTTATTAGTTAAAGGGGACCTATCATGCAAAATGCACTTTTCTACGTCTTTTCTACATGAACATGTGTCCCCGGTGTTCCAGGGAACTCACCAAGTGTCAGAAAACACAACCCTCTCTATTTTCCTCCATACCCAAATCTCTTAAAAAGGGGCTGCAACGGATCTGATACAGACTGATCCAGATTTGAACACTTCTATGACGTCACAGAAGTGGCGCTACGGCTATTGGGCCAACTCCACCAATCAGGAGGAGACAGCCACGGACATTGCCGTTGGAAAGCGCTGGAGACGCTGTAGTACGTATGCCAGGCCTGTAGGTGGTGCTGTTCTCACAGAATCAGCCCATGATGCAAAGACAGTGTTACATTGAGCGAAATGAGGAATGGCTAAAATGCATGATCTGTTTGGTATTTTGAAAAATAAAAAGTATAAATATGCCTTATATAGGTATGGCCCTACACTATGTTATTCAAATATAGCATGATAGGTCCACTTTAATACAAATGTTATAACTGGAAACACTAAAACAGGACTGAAAAGAATCACGAATAGAAAGAGATGGACCGACTCAGTTCAATAAACGTGAAATAACACCAGAGTGAAAATCTGAAATTCCGGGTTAATAATAAACGTTTCTCTTATTCTTATTGACTGATGTCGTTACGAGGGTTCACAGGGAAGACTTTATGTTTTGAATGAAAAGGAAATGATTCTCCTCTCACCCGGTGTCCTGGATGTCCCGGCTCTCCAGGTGTCCCTGGTTCTCCCGACCCGCCTGAGTTCCCCTGGGTCCATCAGAAGGAAACAGAAATAAACTCTGGATGCATTTGTTAGAGACTGGTCCCCGATTACATGAAGGGAGAATGGTCAAGTGTTATAACTGTGGGCGTAAATATAACATGATAAGGTTGTATTTACTACTGTTGCTGTTTGTCTGTTTTTGTCGTTGTTATTGTTTTGTGGGTTTTATGACGTGTTTTCGTGTTGCCTCTAATGTCTTTGGTATTGTCTCACCTGAAAATAAAATCAAAATATATTGAAAGAAAAGAAGTGAATTGGAGATGAAGTGAAAACACAGGACAGGAAACGGACTGCCTGGCTCCGCTCTGGATCCATCGTGAGGAGAGTGTTTACAGGCAGCATTAAGTCATACTTCCAAAAACAAAACATGATCAACTTCATATAATGAGCGTCTTTGAGCACTGGGAAAGCGCTATAGTCTCATAGAGTCCTGTTGAACCCTGAAATGTTGGATGTCTTACCAATTCGCCCCTTCCCAATTCACTCCTAAATTATTCCCATCTCGCCCCTTCCCAATTCGCCCCATTGCCACTTCGCCCATGTCGTCCCTTTTTTACATTAGGCCACATAAGAAATTATACTTGTTTGCTTGGTCGTGGGTCTTAGGGTTAGGCTTAGAGTTTATAGATCTAATTATGCATCCAATGAAGCATTGCATGAAGTCTGTTGACGAATCAGAGGCTGTCGTTGGGGCTGCATGGCACAGGGGCGAAATGGGAATAAACCGAAATGTTGAGTACCCCAAAGTTTTATGTTAGAAATGTAGAGTAGGGTCTCCAGCTCATAGAAACTGCCGGATGCTAACCTGCATATCTTGGGCAATTTGAACAAATAGCATGAGTTACGTTAATCAAACTAATGGCATATATATAAATATGTAGAAGAGGTTTGTTTTCTCTCACCCCTCGCCCTCGGTTCCCTCTCGTCCCGGGGAACCCTTTAGTTCCCTGCTGGCCGTCCTCTCCCTGAGAACACACACACACACACACACACACA